GCAGAGACCACGTCTCTGGCAGGCTGCAGGGAATCTGAGTGTGAGAAAGTCAGTCAAGCGGAGGAAAAGGGAGGGAAAAAAAAAAAGCTTCAAGTCCTCAGGCAAAATACCATTTTTTTCCCTCCTTCTCTTGCTCTCTCTCCTTTCTGTAGCTTTAAACCAAACCCACAAACCATTCCGATACCTCAGGACAAAGGGGAGTTTCACTAAAGATGTATTATTTATTGTACAGTTTAAAATAAAGAGGTGAAGCAATAAGACAGAGAGAATCCTCCTTTTGGGGGGCAGGATGGGGGAAGGAGAAAACACAGCAGCCCCTGCTTGTACTCACTGGGCATGATACAGTGGAAATGATGCCTGGTGTGTGGCGGGTCTCGCAGTGGGATCAAAGAAATGACTGCTGATGAACAGGGTTCAATTTTTTTCTTTGCTTCAGGAGAGAAAGGAGGATGACTGAAAAATAAAGCCTGTTCCAGTCTAAGAGGAGCATTTCAAATCCAAAAGTCTATTCTTGAGTTTAGGAGCTTAGTTCTCCATTTGAGAAGGGGTGGAGAGAGTGTCAACTTGGTTCTGTTTTCACTGCCCAGGGTAAGGACACTGAAAAATAGACTGTGAGCACATTTGCACAGCAACTTTCTTTTTACATGGTTAGGGTGGAAGGCCAGCAACTCTCTGGGCTGCTTTTTTATTTGTTTGGCCCAGACACAAATTCATGGCAAATTTTTGGTTACTTGACTGACCCCTCTGTCTATCTAAAAATGTGGGGGGGGGGGTGCCTTATTTGCTCATTCTACCAGTCTAAGTCACTTCTAAAGTGGCCATTAATGAGTTGCTGATTAACTACTTGACTGAGGAGGCTGCTGTAGGCACAAGACCCTAACCTGACTGTATTCAACATTCTCCATGCAGCTTCCAGGTGCCGAACCCTGAAGAGATGACCGAGTCAGACAGATCAAAAAAAAAAAAAAAAAAAGCAGCAGCAGCAGCAGCTCTTGGGCTAGAGGCTAGAACAGATGGTGGCATACCCAGCTAGTTAATTACGGCCCAAGAGCAGACAGCAGTCGATGCCATTGCAGAGCTTACTGGAAGAAGTCACCAACTGTCATAGATTTGAGAGGAACCTGGAAAGGGCTAACATGCTTCCCTGGGAAGAGTTTAGTTCTCTGGCAAAATCTGGGTCAGAGTATTTAGGCTGTTTTTAAAAGTCAGATGCTAAGCAGAAGCATTTTAAGAACCCTGCAAAGTCTGCATGGCAGAAAGGAGAGTAACTTCATAGGCTCATCACCTTTCACCAAGAGGATTTCAAACACACAGGAAAACTCCACTATTTTCAAAAGCAACAGACAATATTCTGTCATCACCACTTCTCCATCTGTTTAAAATATGAAAGAAAAGTCCTACCCTACTGGCCCAGGTAGCAGGTCAACAAAGGAGGCATTGTTCATCATTTCTTCAAAACATGATAGGGCACAGCCCACTCTGCAGTGTGTTAAGAAACACACACACACACACACACACACACACACACTCACATGCTCACAATCCCAGAGAGTAACCCACGGGGCAAGAGTGAGTAAATTAAGCCTGCAATGAGCTAAGATTTGGCTACAGACTTGAGGGCTGTCCTGGAAGGTGGAAATGAGGCTTGGAAGGTAAATATGGTCAAAGTCACAATGATTCCTTAGTTAGACTCCAGGTTGCGGGGGCACATTGCATTAAAGGGTAAGCAGGTTCTGCTGAACTTGGATCATTGGATAGTGTGCAGTCAATGCCCACATGAGCTGGTTCTAGGCAGGTGCTTCCAGGTGAGTATCAGCATACATCTGTCACTTAGGAATCTCCTTTATGGCTTGAACCTCTTAACTGGGCTCTCTTGACTCCAAACCCTGCAACCCACTCTCCACACTTTTGCCAGAGCCATCTTTTTACAGGAGAACTCTCATGTCCCTTCTCTGCTCAAGAACATTTCATAGCTCTCCATTGTCTAAAGTTAAGTCCAAAGTCCTTTAGCAAAATGTCTAAGAATCTTGTGACATGGCTTCAAGCCTCCTCCTTTAGTCCCTTCTTACACTCCGGCCAGCCACATGCCCTGGTCTCCAAATCATGTCCCTGAATGAGGACCTCAAGTTCCACAGTCTATACCCTTAATATCATACGTACTCTCATCATCATTAGCCCCTTGACATTTCCAATGCCCCCAAAAATCCTACCTGTTTTTTGAGATACAAAGTATGGGCAACTTCCTCCAGAAAGTTTTCCAGGATACTCTAACTTACGAGTAATTTAATTATCCAAATTCTATCTAGACATATAACTGTCTCTACTGAACCTAGGACAGACCAGAGGTATATACTGGGAGACAGATGTTAGCTGCACTTATGAGTATAGCCTCTCTAGTCTGTGGGCTTCCTGAGGGTAATAACAATCTTACTCACTCATCCCTATTCCCCAAGTAGACCAATACTATTGCCCATACAGGAATGCTTTAGTGGGTTTTTTTGTTTGTTTGTTTGTTGTTGTTGTTGTTTTTTAGGTTCATCTGATCTCTCCGGTCGTCATCTAAACCCTAAGAGAAGGGAATAGTAAAGGAATGCGTGGTCATCAATCAGAAAATCAGGGTTTGTCTGCCTCCAGAGTTGACTGGAAACTCCTTGCAGGCTGCCACTGCATCTTTCTTCAACGTGGTAATCCTGGAGTTTAACACAGTGTCTGGCATACCGCTGCATTTCATAGTGAAAGAAAAAGAGGGGCTTGCACGAGGTCACCCAGAATCAGGAACCACTGAATCTCATCCGGGAGATCTGGTGAAATCATTTACAACATTATCTCAGTGGGGAGCTCGGAGGAAGGAAGGAATGAAGTGTCTGAGAAACGTGTGCCAGGCCTTCAGCAGCCTCCAAGCCTGGGGAGAGGGAGGAGGGGGGAGAGAGAGGGGGCGACATCAAACAAGACGCCTAGGCTGCCCCTGAGCAGCTCGCCGATCTCCCGGGAGGCGGGAAGGGCGGGGAGGGGGGCGCAGGGGGCCGACGACCCGGGCAGGCTAGCTGGAGGGAGGGAGAGCGGCAGCAGTGCCGGCCGGCCGGCCAGGGCAGTGCGCGTCGCCCGCCCTGCTCGGCAAATCCCCTAGGGAGGCCGCCGCCAGAGCCCTGGCGCTCCCGGCCCGGCGCCCGCCACGTGGCACCCGGCGGCGGCGGCGGCGGCTCCTCCCGGCGCGCGGCCCGGCCAGCCGGCAGCACGCAGCCGCCCGCCGGCGGCCTCCCGGGCGCAGTCAGGGGGAGCTGCCCGGCCGCCCTGGACCCCGGGAAGAGGCGGGTGGCGCGAAGCCGCTTTGACCGCAGTCGCCAAGCTAAGGCTGGAGGCTGACCCGGCCGCTTCCTAAGTGCGGTCAGGCATCTCGTGACCGCGGCGGGCGCCGGGGGCCCCGCGGGGGGAAGGAAAGAGGGCTGGCCGGGGCAAGGAGCACATAAGAAGGCCCCTCCCCCTCCCCCGGGCTGTCGTTAGTGAGGCTTTCGGCCGAGCTGAAACCCCAAGCCTGAAATCTGGGGTGGAGTGGGGGTTGGAATAATTCCCCACTCTCCACCCTGGGGCGTGCGCTCCCCTCCCGGAAGGGCTGACCTTGGCGGGGGTGGTGCGGAGAGGGGGATGAAGAGTGGTAACTGCCGAGGCTCCGCTCCCAGCCCGCCGCCCCCTCGGATTCCTAGCCCGGAGGGGGCTGGAGGAGGGGGTACCCCGGACACACACACACACACACACAGAGACACACGCACACCCCACACCCCACACGCAGCGCGCGCCAATGAGCCCGGGCCAGGGGCAGGGGGCGGAGTTTTCCCAGGCTCAAGCACAGCAGCTGCTATTTACCTTCTTGGCTTCTCCCGGGGACCAGGAACCAGCCCCCGCGCTCCGCCGCCCGCCGCCGCCCCCCGCCTCCCTGCCCCCGGGGCGCGCGCACACACACTCACACACGCACGCACATACACATCCTCCCGGCCCGGCCGCAGCCGCGGCGGCAATAAAACATCCTGGCACGTGCTCCGGCTCCAGGCGCGCCCTCGCCGGCCGGCTGATGTCAAACTGCAGTTCGGCTGGTGTAGCTCTTAAAGGGCCCGCGCGCGTCGGGTGCCGAGACTGCAACGGCCGCCCGCGGGACGAGAATGAGGGAAGAGGCTGCCGCACGACCCGCCACCTCTTCAGTGCCACAGAACCGAAAGCCTGCGGGTGGAAAAGGAAAGGGTGGCCAGAGCGCGCTCGCGTCCCCGAGGCATTGCCATCAAAGTCCCCCTTGTTCATCTTTCATTTGAAATTCTATTTTCTTTTTGCTCAGTTGGAAATTATTCTGATTGTTTCCTGGGGAAGTGGGGGGGGGGGTGGACGACACGTCCAAGCCCCAACTCCTGAAGAGGAATTGGGGGGGGATCAAAAACCACCTCGTTCTGAACAACCTGTAAATATAAAGTGAAGGTATTTTTTTCCTTTTCTGCATACAAAAATAAAATATTTTTTTGTCCTTTTCCTGCACGATCGACTTTCAATACCCTCCTCCAATGGATAGTCTGAGCGGGAAATAACTTCCATGTTTCGGTAACTCACACCCTTGCACACGTTCCCCTTTTTTAACCATTGCAAGTATAACATTTTATCTCCGTCTTTCTAAACCTTTTAAAAATATTTTTCAAGTGAAGTTATTAGCGTCAAAGCAGCTCTAGCTCTGTGACACAGCTGACAGAAAATAACAAGCAAAGGCCCTAGCCCCCAAAGAAATAAACTAGACTGAAGCAAAATCGATGCGCAAAAAATCCTGCCTAAAGCAAAGCCCAGCAGGGATAATACCAAAGGGTTAAAATCCTTTTGATTGACGTTGTAGCCTCCGGTGCCCCGGGCTCAGGCGCGCGCCATTGGCCGCCAGGCCTTGTGCCTGGCGGCCAATGGGGGGGCGCGGTCCACGAGCGGTGCCGCGTGTCTCCTCCTCCCATTGGCTGAAAGTTACTGTGGGAAAGAAAGTTTGGGAAGTTTCACACGAGCCGTTCGCGTGCAGTCCCAGATATATATAGAGGCCGCCAGGGCCTGGGGATCACACAGGATCCGGAGCTGGTGCTGATAACAGCGGAATCCCCTATCTACCTCTCTCCTTGGTCCTGGAATAGCGCTACGATCACCAAGTAGCCATAAGATACTATAATAAGCCGTCAGCACTTGCTCAGTAGTTTCGTGACAGTCTCTCGTAAAAGGGACACAAAACAATTTTTTTGTTCGAAGGACTCCAAAAATAAAATTCTCTAGGGATAAAAAAAACAACAACAACAAAATGCCAGCTGATATAATGGAGAAAAATTCCTCGTCTCCGGTGGCTGCTACTCCAGCCAGTGTCAACACGACACCGGATAAACCAAAGACAGCATCTGAGCACAGAAAGGTAAGGGCAGTACCTGTATTTCTCTACAGCCCCAGGAAATTAAGCTGGGGTTGGGGGGGTCTTTTATCCCTAAAAGTCCCGGGGGAGTGAAATGGCAGATCCCATGGGAACTCGGAACTCTTAATTTCTTTATAGTCATCAAAGCCTATCATGGAAAAGAGACGAAGAGCAAGAATAAATGAAAGTCTGAGCCAGCTGAAAACACTGATTTTGGATGCTCTTAAGAAAGATGTAAGTGGATAATGCTGCTTTGTTTTTAATTCAAAAAAATGAAATACTATTTCTCAGGTACAAAGAATGAAATCTCCTTGTCGGTGGATTTTCCCCGCCAGCACCACCATCTCTTGAGGCGGGAGAGCCGGTTCCCTTTAGCCGGGGTCGGGGGAGGTTGGCGCCGTGGGAGGGACCCCCAGCACGCCGAGGCCACTGGCAGGGGTCTCACTTGCTTTTCTTGCCTTCTCTTCTGTGCAGAGCTCGCGGCATTCCAAACTGGAGAAAGCAGACATTCTGGAAATGACAGTGAAGCACCTCCGGAACCTGCAGCGGGCACAGATGACGGGTGAGGGCAGCTTGCCGCGTCCCCCTCTGCGGGCGTCCCTCTCGCCCGGCGGTGATTTCTTCCAGACTTCCGCCCGTGGTTGTGAGAGGCATTCAGCTACATTTTACAGCCTTGGCTCACGCTTACGTTCCCACGGTCTGGGGCTTATTTATAGCCACAACTCCAAGTTGTTACTGTTCCGGAAAGGGAGGGAGAGTGGTTGCAGCGGCGAGGGCGGCGGGCGGCTTGGCAGTGGGGAAAGCGGGTGGGGGCAAAAGTACTTAGAACTGTGGCGGTTTTGAGCTACGTAGAGCCTGAGGGTCTTTTGGTTTAGCGCTCCCTCCTTCCCCATTACAAAAGGGGAAGTGAGGTTCGTATGGCGAGGAAGGGCATTACCCAAGGTCACATCGCACGCGCTGGGGGGTGCAGATCTAGGGCTGAGGTCTGTTTAAATTAAGCTACTGGGAACGGAGAGAGGGAGCGTCTTGGCTTAAGTCGCCACGGTACGGTAGAGAAGTGGGTGGTTTTACTAAACCCACCCGCCCTAGCCGGAGGCAGTTCTGCGGGCCCAGTGGCTGGGGAGGCGCGCCGCGGGGACCTCCCAGGGCGGAGGTGGTGGCCTCGGGGCCGGGGCCTTTCGTTGACCCGTCTGTCTCCTTCTGGCCTGCAGCCGCGCTAAGCACAGACCCGAGTGTGCTGGGGAAGTACCGCGCGGGTTTCAGCGAGTGCATGAACGAGGTGACCCGCTTCCTGTCCACGTGCGAGGGCGTTAACACCGAGGTGCGCACACGGCTGCTCGGCCACCTGGCCAACTGCATGACCCAGATCAACGCCATGACCTACCCCGGGCAGCCGCACCCGGTCTTGCAGGCGCCGCCACCGCCCCCGCCAGGACCCGGAGGTCCGCAGCACGCGCCGTTCGCGCCGCCGCCACCGCTGGTGCCCATACCCGGGGGCGCGGCGCCCCCTCCCGGCGGCGCGCCCTGCAAGCTGGGCAGCCCGGCTGGAGAGGCAGCTAAGGTGTTCGGTGGCTTCCAGGTGGTGCCGGCTCCTGACGGCCAGTTTGCCTTCCTCATCCCCAACGGGGCCTTCGCTCACAGTGGCCCCGTCATCCCAGTTTACACCAGCAACAGCGGGACCTCCGTGGGACCCAACGCAGTGTCGCCTTCCAGCGGCCCTTCGCTCACTGCAGACTCCATGTGGAGGCCCTGGCGGAACTGAGGGGCTCAGGACACCCCTCCCCCTAAACTCCCCAACCTCTCTCTCTTCCCTTGGGACACTAAACAGGAACTTGGACGCTGGGAGAGAAGAGGACTTTTTGATTAAGTTGTTACCTTGTTTTTTTTAATTTCTAAAAAGTTACTTTTTTGTAGAGAGCTGTATTAAGTGACTGACCATGCACTATATTTGTATATATTTTATATGTTCATATTGGATTGCGACTTTGTATTATAAAAGTTCAGATGACATTTCGTTTTTTACACGAGATTTCTTTTTTATGTGATGCCAAAGATGTTTGAAAATGCTCTTAAAATATCTTCCTTTGGGGAAGTTTATTTGAGAAGATATAATAAAAGAAAACAGTGAAGGCTTTTAATGTCTTAAAACTGATTATTTCAGAATATGTAAAAAAAAAAAGCTCTGCAGAATTTGAATTACATATAATCTGAGAATTCAGGAATTGGCTCTTTTGTCTTTCAAAGAACATTTTTAAAAATCCTTTCACCATGAAGTATATTCCATTTAATTTGCAAGAATCTGATGTGGCTTCTCTGATCGATTTGTGGTAAATCTTTCAAAGGATTTCAAACATTTAGTTACAGGTGGGTAGGCTATTCAGTGCACTTGCTGCTTCTGAGGAAAGTTGAAGGAGACTGAATTCATGAGGTTACGGGTCCGTACCATTGCCCAGGGCTCACTAAGGGAGGCTCCTGCAGCATTACTCCCCTGGGGCAGATCACCAACATCCACAGTAAAAACACTTAACAACTGCAGCCTCCAACTTTCAAGGGTTAGAGTCTTCCTTTAATTAGTCCTTAGGTTCAGCCAGACATTGCCTCCTACCAGCATCCAAAAGTTTGAATTGCCTCTCCGCACCTTCTTCAAGCAAGCTGAGAAGGTCAACAGATTACTTTTGCCAAGGGACAGCTAGTTAGACTCCCATGTGGAGCCAGAGCCCAGATGATTAACACCAGAAATATGTTTTTGATAAGTTTCTGTGCTTGGCTCTAATAGGGAAAGCATGTGGGGGCCAAGCTGGCAGGCATACAGGCCATCTTCCCCCTTTTAATACAAACAGCAAGCGACCCCTTCCCTTGGTCATGCCCCATTTCCAGGCAAGATGTGGGCTCCAGATAGGAGCAAAAGGCTGGTCTCGGGTTTCAGCTCACATAACCCTCCTTAACAAGTCCTAACTCAAAGCGGACAGCTTTAAACTGTGCCAGGATCTGCAGGGAATTTCTTCCAAATCCCATCACAAAGGCTTGTCAGATTTTGTCAGATTTGGCCAGGTGTTTGACTGCATCCAGGTGTTGGGGAAATGAAAACCACGAGCCCTACGAGACCAGACACATCAGCCGCGCTGTGGGTCTGGCGGGCGCACCCTCCTCCCTCACCGCCGGCCAGTCCTCCTCCCTGCCAGGCCCCTCCCGCCAGCCTCTCCCCTCCACCCCTTCCTTTAGAGCAGCTTCTGGGAGGAGAAGGATGAGGCGGGAGAGATCAATCTTTGAAGCCTTCCTAACAAAGATAAAGCCAACGATTTTCTGTCTTGTTTCAATAGCGTTACCTCTCCCCTGCCTGATCTGGCCTTCCCACAGGCCAGTGTGGAGAGCAGCTCTATCACAGGAATGATCTAGCAGACAGCACTTAGTTTTCTACTCAGATGCCTTCCACCCAGCTTCAGATGCAGAGGGAGAGGTTTAAAAGATACCTTTTAAAATTTGGCTCCTACTTGCCTCATTTTTTGTATGTGAAGGGGGGCGAACACACCCTCCTCCCAAAGAACTACATATACACACCCTTTTTACCATATTTTTCCAAGATTTCTCATGTTTAAACACAAACATAACAATTGCTCTATTAAGACTCCAAACCCAAGCTCAAATACTTCATTTGATAAACCTATCCTCTGTCCCCGCTAGAAGGGCTTAACTGCCCTGACAGCAACAATGGAGACATCCAGTCTCATTTTTATACAAGCACATTTATGTTCTTAAAAATTCACACACACCAGTGCAATCTCTACGCCAACTGTAAACTAAGTCTCTCTGTCTTTCCCTGTGCTGAGAAAAAGTGAATTTTTATTAGTATCAACAGTACATGGATATCTTGGGGGTGAAGTAATAAATATAAGGAAAAGAAGTAAACATTTGTTCATTAGAAAATAACTGGTACTTTAAAAATGGTTCTTTTTCCCTGAAATATAGGTTTAGATTACCAGACATTTGTTTCTATACATATGGGGAAAGGAGGAGACTCTGGGCCCCAAATGGTGATTTTTCAGGCTCTTGGGCCAGCTTTGCCACTGAACTTACTGTGCCACTTTGAATGAGTCATTTCCCTTCTCTGGGACAATTCTACATCTGTAAAGTGAGTGGGTTTATTTCTAAGTCTTTGTGCCCTCCTTGCACCCAGGCTGTTTCTGGAGTAATTAGTTGGGGGAGAGGCAAAGCTTCAAAGACAACTTCAATCCTGCCCCACCCTTACCCGGATCCCCCGGACCGGGCCTAATTATACCGCCTCGGGACACACCCAGCAGCCCCTCTCCCTCGCCCCGGGCAGTGCCGATGGCTCCAGAAGATAAGGCACAACTCCAAGCTCCGTCCCTGTCTGCAGGCCGCGGGCTTCGGGGCCGTCTCTCACATTAGCCTCACAATGGAGACCCTGCCGGGCTTCGGCTCCCTCAGTCCCCAGCATCTGGGCGGGAAGGGGCTGAACTGGAAGAGCGGCTCTCCTCGGTCCAGAAGGGAGCCTCCCGCAAATGGTGAAAAAGCGCGACTCAGAGGTGCGCCCCCTCCTCGCTCCCCATTCTGCCCCCCGTGTTTCTGGAGTGGGGATCCAGGGGTTAAAGTGGACCCCCTCGGCGTCACCACCGTCCCGGGAAACCTGTCATTAAAGTCAATTAACTTTTCCCACACCCCTTGGCCGGTAACAACTCGCTGCTAGCTTCCTCCTCGGCTCCTAAGTGCAACCAGATGGGCGGCCGAGCTACCCCCGCCGCGCGCCCGCCAGGGCGGCCCGGGGGTTCCAGGGAGGCCGCCGGGGCCCGCGGCCCGGGCGGGAGCAGGCCAGGGCGGCCACGCCGGGCCAGCCCCGGCGGCCCTGCGGCCAAGGTGGTTTGCTTAGCAGGCCCGGCTGCTTTCTGGCAGGAAATGAATAGCTCCCAGATGAGCTCAGGCAACCTGAGAGGTCGTGAGAACGGCGCGAACCCCCGCCTGTGCAGCCGGCAGCCTGCCAGGCCGCGGGGGGAGCGGGCGGCGGCGGCGGCGGGAGGCCGGGAGGCCCGGCAGGCGGGCGGGCGGGCGGCGGCGCAGAGGGGAGGGAGGAGGGAGCCGCTGACACACGAGCCCGCGCCCGCTCCCGCTGACAGGCAGGCAGCCGCCCGCGCCCGACCGCCTCCCCCGCTTCCCCCGCCCCAGGCCCCAGCGCCTCCCAAGCAGCAGGCCTGAGCCGCAGAAATGCGGCCGCCCAGCCCCGCCAGGGCCTGGGGGTGGGGCGGCCTGCCAGTGTTTTTCCAGTTCTCCCGGTAGCTCCGGGCCGCATTTAGAAGCCGGGGAAACTGGGCCGAGGCCAGTGTCAGGGCACCAGAGTCCCTCGCGGCCTGCAAAGCGCTGCCAGGGGTTAGGCCAAGCCAGGGCGGGAGTAGACAGGGAGGTTGGGGGCCAGGACAAGGGCATCCCAGCCCACAGAGTCATCCCAAAAAAGACAGCGTCACCATACAGCAACTCTGGACGCCTCAAAGCAAAAATCCCATTTCCCCAAACCCGTGCACCTACTAGGTGCCCAGCAAGCCCACACAACCAGTCATTCCTATACAGCCCCTGCCTTCACAGAACTCTGTTTATCTGGGGAAACACTCAAGTGACTCATCCCAGTCACATGTGGTTAAGTGCCAAAGCGAAGTTTAAACAAAGGGCACCTCAGAACAGAGATGAACTCTGATTTGAGAGGAAACCAGGTAAGTTTTTCAGAGAGTTTGGCACTTGAAGCAGAGAGGTGAAAGATGAGTTCAACAGGAAGAAGTAGGAACAGGAAGGTGAAGGAAAATGCAAATAGGTCCAGTTTGGGGAAATTTCAAAAAGTTTGCCAGTGATTGTTATATTTCAATTTTCAAATACATAAAATGGCTTAGAGGTCAAAAAGAGAAGAGTAAGTTGTATGCCTCAGTCCTTGGCTTTGTGCAATACAGCCTAGGGGTTAAAAGCGCATGATCTGGCTTCTGATTGCTTAGGTTGTAAAACCAAGGCAAATTACTTCACTTTTCTGTGCCTCAGTTTTGTAACTCTCTGCCACATTTGGAACTTAAGGCTCTTCTGGTTGTAGGGTTGTGAGGATGAAATGGGTAATGCTCAGAAAACTTTAAAAAGAAAAAGAGAGAAAAAGAGAATGGTGCCTGGCACGTAAGCCCTCGTTACGTGTCAGCTATTATTATTTCTAAACAACCACAGGGAAGTTTGTTCACCAAACAAGAAAGCCAGCCCTGGTCTTGGCCCAGTAATTTCAGGATCTGCTTGTAATTGCACCAGGCCTCATGTGAAAGGATCACTGCTTCTTCTCTACTATCTGAATTTCATGTATTTATTCAATAATTATTGAGCCAGACACTATGGGAATAAGGGAGAAGAAAGGCAGGATCTCTGTAGCTGTAAAGCTCACAGTCTAGTAGGCAAGGCAGATCAGTAAAAAAAAAAAAAAATTACGTGGCATACAAGAGTAGAGTGCATGGTGGTACAAAAGAAGCTCACACATTGTAACAGGAAACTTTTTGATCCTCTAAATTATGATGAATCTTTGTGAATTTTTGTAACCATAGAAATTGCTAGGACAGTAAATAACTAGTCAAATTCCACCTAAGAAAAGTTATTGTCAAATGGTTAATTTAAAGATTAATCATTTCACAATGTTAATATTTTCTGAATCACCTTGATGTGGTCAAGGAACTCAACCAGCATCACAAAATCCAGGTTCCAGGTTGGCCACTACCTGTGAGATGCTGAGCAAGTCCCCCGAGATCTCTCGGCTTCAGTTGCCTCACTGACACAGTAAGTTTAGACCGGAAGTCCGTTTCACCTCCGCAGTCAGTGATTGTCTTTGCTCAGCATGCTTCTGTGTGCCTCTTACAGTTTTACATGTGCTCTGTGGCTATAAGAACCTATATCAGGCATATTTCAAAACTTTCGACCAAGTCCTGGGATAATTTTACAGCCAAGTATTTTAATCTGCAGTTAAATATGTGGAAACAGACCTGAAGGAGGGACATTGTAGTTCTGCTGCTGTAGGAAAATAGGTCACTTGTTAGATTCTATCTATCTATCTATCTATCTATCTATTTATTTATTTATTTATAGAGACAGG